ACTTCTGTAAGATGTATTTATATGCTGCTTTCATCAGGCAGTGATTAAGTGAAATCCACTGTGGTTTTCTTTTGTCTTTTTGCACTAGCTATCTAAAATCCCCAGGTAAAATTTAACATTAAACTATAGAAACCAGTTTAACCAGACATCGTGTATAATATTTCTGTTACGTTTTATTTTATTTTTTAAAGTTTGTGTCCTGTCTCACTTGGACAGGAAATGGAGTTGCAAATATTTCTATGTCCCCCAAACCACAGCAGTCTAAACAAACAAAAAAAAAATTAAAAAATTTCAAAAGACTTATAGCTTATCTTTTTTTTCTTTCTTTCTTTTTTTTTTTTTTTTTGGAGACGGAGTCTCAGTTTGTCACCCTTGATAGAGTAGTGCCATGATGTCATAGCTCATAGCAACCTCAAACTCTTGGGCTCAAGCAATTGTCTTGCCTCAGCCTCCCAAGTAGCTAGGGAGGCCATTTTTAGAGATGGAATCTCACTCTTGCTGAGGCTGGTCTGGAACTCTTGAGCTCAAGCAATCCACTCACCTCGGCCTCCCACCTTATAGCTTATATTAAACCTCTAATTTCTGTGTCTTCATCTTCAAGTTCGATTATAATTTTATGGTGGCTTTTTTAACTAAAAAATGAATGTCTACGTTTGATTCCTAATACCCTAATTTTTAAAAAGTTTTAAAGGATGCATTTTTGTATCTGTTGAGAATGTCAGGTATTACCTCTTTCACTTTGTTTTTTACACGAAAGTGATTTTCATGTATAAAAAACTATTTTAGACTTTGTCAATATTTAATTTAGTCAGTTTATAATCTGGCAAATTTTCTGGCTGAAAGAATAAATAAATATTGGTCTGCATATGTTATGATGTTTAGTAAGACATATCTAAAAGAAGAAAAGTCTCTTATACTGATCTATGATTTTTATTTTTTCTACTGTGTATGTATTTGCTTTATTGTGGCAAAAAGCACACAACATAAAATTTACCATCTTAACCTTTTTTAAGTGTAAAGTTCTGTTGTTTTAAGTATATTCACATTGTTGTGGAACAGATCTATAGAACTCGTTCAACTTCCCAAACTGAAACTCTGTACCCATTAGCTCTCCTTTCCCCCCACCCTGCAGCCCTTGGTAACTACCCTTCTTCTTTCTGTGTCTATGCATTTTTCTACTCTAAGGATCTGTCCTACAGTAGCTGTCTTTTTATGACTGCTTTGCTTCCCTTAGCACAGTGTCCACAAGGTTCACGCATGTTGTAGCATGTGCCAGGAATTCCCTCCTTTTTAGACTGAATGATACTCCGTTGTAAGTACATGCCACAGTTGGTTTATTAATTCATTCATCAATGGACATTTGTGTTCTTACACCTCTTGGCTATTGTGAGTAGTGCTGCAATGAACATGGGTGGGCAGAGGCCTCTTCAAGACCCTGCCTTGCATTCTTCTGGATATATACCCAGAAGTGAGACTGCTGGATCGTATGGTCATTCTAGTAGTATTTTGAGGAACTTTCATACTGTTTTCCATAGCAGCTGCTCCATTTCACGTTCCCACCAGCCTTGGTGCACAAGGATTCCAGTTTCTCACGTCCTCACTAACATTTGTCATTTTTTGTTCCCTTGGTATTATTTTTTAAATAGTAGCCATCCTAATGGGTAGGAGGTGATACCTCTTTGTGGTTTTGATTTTGTTTCCTAGTGATGAGAAATGTTGAACATCTTTTCATATGTGCATTGGCCATGTGTGTATATCATCTTGGGTAAATGTCTATTCAAGTCCCTTGCCCATTTCAAAATCAGTTTATTTGATATTTTTGCTGTTGAGTTATAGGAATCCTTTATATATTATAGCTAGTTAACCCCTTTTCAGACATATGATTTGCTAATATTTTCTCCCAATTCATAGGTAACATTTTCGCTCTGTGTACTGTAAACTCTCCCTTGATACACAAAAGTTTTAAGTTTGATGTAGTCCCTTTTGCCAAGTTTTGCTTTTGTTACCTGTACTTTTAGTGTCCAATCCAAGAGATCACTAAAACTAATGTCATAAAAGTTTTCCCCTATGTTTTCTACTATGAGTTTTATAGTTTTAGGTCTTATTTTTAAGTCTTTCGTCCATTTTGAGTTAATTTTTTATATTGTATAAGAGAAGGGTCCAGATGCATCATTTTTTGGATGTGAATATCCAGTTTTTCCATCAACATTTCATAAAGAGGCCATTCTTCCTCAGGGAGTGTTCTTGACACACATATCAAAAATCATCAAATGTGAAAGAGTTTTTTTCTAGACTTTCTTTTCTATTCTATTGATCTATTTGTCTTTATGCCAGTGCTATATTATTTCGATTATTATAACTTTGTAACAGGTTTTGAAGTCAGGAAGTATGAGTCCTCCACCTTTGTTCTTTTTCACTTTTACCTTATAAATTACACAGTGAAAATTTGATTAATACCTAATGGGAAGTCACTTATTACATATCCTTTGGACAGATTTTCATAGTCAAATAAAAATAGAAAGTAGAACAATTACTGAATGTATCTGGGCAGCTGAAGTTTCAAATGAAAATTTTGCTTCTGCCATAAATTATATAGACTTGCTGCTATATTATGCACTTTTAACTCATTTACCTGTCCTCTGTCAACTTGATCCGCAAGTTAGTTTTTGGCATATAAAAGTTAGACATTACATACAAGGTCAGACAATAAGTTCTCAAACCCATCCTAGAAAAATTGCCTAGTCCACCCTTCAAAGCAATTTTAGAACTCTTTTTCTAGTATGGCCACCAGAGCTATCATTGTAGAAGGTATGACAATTAAGTTCAAGAACTCATCATAGAAAAAGTGCTTTGAAGGGTGGACTAGACTCTTGGCATTGGTACAGCGCCTCCTAAGGGGAGTATTTCAAAAGCGACTGTAGTGATACTTGGCAAGGAGGTATGTGGCACTTTTTCTGGAATGAGTTTATAAACTTAGTTGTCTTACCTTGTATATGAAAACTAGAAACCTCACTTGAATTCCCATCATAGTCACTGTTAATATTTTGTATATAATAGCTTCTAAATGTTTCCCATTACAAATATATAAACATAAATATTTTTATCTGCCTTAGTAAATAATCTAAAATAATCTATATGAAAGTGGATGTATATACAAAATAGAATCATATTCACTTCTCTTTTTCGTGTAATGTTTAAAAAACGTGGTAGATCTTAGAATCATCATTTCTAAGGCCATTGTATATTCCATTGCTTTGGGTCTGCCCTGATTAGCTATTTGTACTGTTGGACATGAGAGATTGTGCCTAATTAGCTTTTTTTTCTTTTGTAAGCAATGCTATGATTGTATTCTTTTGCCTTTCCCCTTTTCCTTCTTCTATGGAGTTGATTTTTTTTTTAGGAGAAATTCCTTCATACAAAATTACTAAATAAAGAATGTAAACTGTTTTATTGAGTTCCCATAACACATTGTTAAATTACTCTACCAAAAGTGGCAATTTATACATAGGTCTATTTGCCAATGCTTACACCAATACTTTCTCAATTTTCCAAATAAAAATGATGTATTTTTCACTGTAACTTACATTTGCTTGATTAGTAATGAAGCTAAACATTTTCATCTTAAATTAAAATTTTTTTAAATTCCATTGTGCTTTTTAGTTTTAATTTTGAAGTTTTGAAATTATACCATGTTCCTTTGAGAATGAATGTTCTTTGCCTGTTTTTCAATTATAATGAAAAACATTGTAATTCACTTCCATCATCTTTTTTTTTTTTTTGAGACCAGAGTCTCCCTATATCACCCTCAGTAGAGTGCTATGACATCACAGCTCACAGCAACCTCTAACACTTGGGCTTAAGCTATTCTCTTGCCTGAGCCTCCCAAGTAGCTGGGACTACAGGGGCCCACCACAACATCCTGCTATTTTTTTTGTTGCAGTTGTTGTTATTTAGCTGGCCAGGGCTGGTGGGTTCGAACCCGCCAGCCTCAGTGTACGTGGCCGGTGCCATAACCACTGTGCTATAGGTGCAAGCCCCATCATCATGATTTTTATGTTTTACTTTATAGACTTAAGGTATAGACAATACTATAATTAGGATAAGTTTTCAGTTTTCGTCTGCCCATTAACTCTGTTGATGATGCTTTGTTTACTTTTGATCTTCAACTGTCTTTAACTTCTTTTCTTTTCTTTCCTTTCCTTTTTTCTCTTTTCTTTTCCTTTTTCTGTGTGTGGTCAAAACTTCTTGGCTCAGTGCCTATAGCTCAAGCGGCTAAGGTGCCAGACACATACATGAGAGCTAGCTGGTTCGAATCCAGCCTGGGCCTGCCAAACAACAGTGACAACTACAACTGAAAAATAGCCAGGCATTGTGGTGGCGCCTGCAGTCGCAGCTCCTTGGGCGGCTGAGGCAGAAGAATCACTTAAGCCAGGATTTGGAGGTTGCTGTGAGCTGTGATGCCACAGCACTCTACCCAGGGCAACAACTTGAGGCTTTGTCTCAAAAAAAACTTCTACTCTGCATCCTGGGTTTCTTGTCATGCCTTAGAAAGATTGTCATATCAAGAACTTATGAGTGTCTCTCTATTTTTCTATTGCTCTTAGGGTTTTCTTGATTTGGCGGTCCATAATTCCAAATACTAAAAGCTAACACTTTACTTATAAGGTGTTTTGCAGTTTAAATTATAATAGAAATGCCAAAGACCACTGATTTTGTAGTTCCTCGCTGGTAACCCCACTCCAACATACAAAAAGTGAGGGCGGAGGAGAATCTGTGAAGTTACATTTACTGGCACTGATATTCCCTAAGCGTTCACCACCTGCTCAGAAAGGCTCTCCGAGAATGCGTCTAAGACACTGTTACATTTAAGGCCTCGGGTACCCTTTTTGGTCTTCGCCCTAGAACTGGTAAAGTAGAGTGCCGGTAATTATAAGCCTTGCTTGCTCTAATTACAAGCATAGATGAAAGAGCTAACAGGGTTGTTTTCCCTTCTCTTCTAGATTTTATAGGAAGACGAAACTTGTTGGTTTTCAAGACATGGAGTGTGTGCCTTGTGGAGACCCTCCGCCTCCTTACGAACCACACTGTGAGTGAACGCTGCGTAAACAGCAGAAGGGACAACGGGTCTTTTAATTTTTTTTTTTTTTAATTTTTAAGCCTTTCTTCAGTTGGCAAATGGAGCAAGATCTGTCTGTCCCTGTGGGGTTTACAGTGTGTACCCTTTTATCAAGCTTTCAGCAGGACATAAAGCCCTTTTGTTGTGCTCCTCCATCAGCAAACTGTGTCCGTTGATTTGAATCTCCAAGTGAAATGCAGCCGCTTTGCCGCTTGCTGGGCTCCATTCACAGCCTTATCTTTCCCTCTAGATGGATCAGGCAGGAAACGCCAATGAACTAAGAGGTCCAGATCGGAACCTGGAATGTCTTTGCGCCACGGCCCATGAATTCCGGGTTTTCCCTTTTTAGTCCCCAGACACAACCATCTAGTGGCATCTCTGCCTTTCCAGAGAGGTTCGTTCCTCTCTGTAAATCACCTGTCCTTGTTAATGTGTCACTGAGTGGAATTTTATTCATTTCATTCATATTTTTCTTTCCTTTTTTATCTTTTTCATTTCACAAATAAATGAAGAGAGAGAACTCAGGCATGCTGGGGGTACAACTGTAATTGACAGAATTGTGCCTTTTCCTCTTTATGTTAACATTAATCTTTTTGACCGTGTATTTTCCTTAGATATAAAAGGTACTAATCGGCATTGACTTTGAATAGGTAGAAAAGTGGCTGCTCACTTTTCTTAATGCTGAGTATAAACCTGACCAAAGAACACCCATGGGGATGGGTCAGGAAGGGAAGCCGCAGGTGGGCTCCTGCTGTGTCAGGCATGCTTGTCTGTGCCCTAGCAGGACATGAGTGAGCTGTGCTTCAAGGAGACAGGCAGCAGCTAAGTGCAAGTAGAGGATGGGGAAGGCAAGGACCTTTGTCCCTCAGGCCTTTTTGGGCACCGTTGTTTTCATATAATTTCTAATGTATGGGACCTGTCCAATGCTTCCCTCTGTGACAAAAGTCCTCTTCGGAACTGATGGAAAGTTATTGCATCATTTGATAAGGTACTTCTCTTCCCGAGAATGTCATGGAATTTTGCGGTCCATATTATTGTAGTTTTCTATCCAAACGCATTACTTTCTATTCTCATTTAAAGTTATAGAAAAACAAAAAAAGTTAGACGACTTTCAACTTTTATTAAAAAGGTGTGTTGATCTTCATTTTTGTAATAGGTAACCATTCACCAAATACTTCACTGCAGTGAACAAATGCCATGCTGAATGGCTACCGTGTGTTAGTCACAATGCAGATGCTTTACTTAACTTTTCTCAATAATCCTGTCATCAGCCCCAATTTGTGCAGGAGAGCATTAGTCCCGAGAGGTTAATACCTTTCCATCGTTGGCTGATAACTGGCAGACAGCATTCCCCGGATTAGACAAGTCTGTCTAACTTTGGATATTGGGCTCTTCCTCCACACTGTGCCGCCTCCCTGTGATAAACCAAGCCATTGAATCTGTCTTACATGTTGAAATGTTTATCACTTAACAAAAATTCTCAAAATTTAACACATAAGAGACACTGAGAGAGCCTCTTTATGTGACTACTCTTTTCCCATAAAAGGAAATATCCTCTTGCCAACTGCAATGGATGACTTGGTCTTGCTGGTAGGTGAGCTGAACTATCATTTTGTCAATAAGGCAAGTTACAATTACATACTTTATCCCAAACTACTGCACAGAGATTTAGTAAAGAGACCAGTATTGCCTGTTTGGAGTTGGAACGTACTATAAGTTTTCTTCTCTTTAATTTTTTGGTCTTAAGTTTCATTTAATGCAGTCAAAAGTCTGAGGCGTTGGAATTTTTTGACTTCAGGGTTCTGGCTAAACATCACCAACTTGTCCTTGAAGGTAGATCTTACTTGTAACTTCTAGTGTCTTGTAAAGTTCTTAGTCACTTGTACGTTTAAAAAGAAAATTAATGAGTTTAATTTATGTATATAAATTTCTTCATATATGAAACTTTTTAGAAAGCAAAGAAAATAACTTGTTGAAGTCAGAAGTACGGCATGCACAGCTAGCAGCCTTTCAAATTATAAAGCACAACAGTCCAATGGTCTTGAGTGAGCATTAATCCTTATCTCTGAAAAGGAAAATTTTGCTGCCTTTGGCACAGTTCTTGGGAGTAATTCCAGAACACAAGTAATCTCCTCAAAAGAGATTTCAAAGTCTTTTGGAGAAATTATGTAAGGCGCCTTATGTTTTCATTTCTTCTACTTTGGGGGGCTTTTAAAACTCATCCACAAAGAACTGCTGTTTCAGTGTTTTTTCTCCCCCCCCCCCCCGAGAAGTTCCTGTACCATTTAGCCTCTCAGCCATAAGAAAGTGATGCCACTCAAGCTAATGCAACTAGTGTGGTTTGTTTCAGACACACGTGGTAGTAGGAGAGGCTGGAACTTCCCAGAAGCCAGGGTAGCCCTCTCTGGGGTTCCCAGGACACTCTGGAGTCTGGAGGCTTGTAGTCCCTCTGCAGTAGGAGGTCCTGAGTTCTGCAGGCCTGTCTGGGTCTGGGTCTCCACTTTCAACACGTGCCTAGCTCTGTCCCCGCTCCATCACACTCCTTCAGGAGATCATCGGATTGCTCTAGTTAAATGCCATCCTCCTGGGAGGTGGGGCCTTCTTTCATCTGTTGAACAAATACTGGACTGCCAGCTGGTGCTGGGAACATGTGGAGACCAGACAGACCTCAGTCATATTCTCTGTGGAGCTTACAATCTAGTAGGGGAGTTGTCCAATGATGATTCTGACTTATTTGTAGTATTTGCATACCCCACACCTAGACGTGGAATTGTGGCAGTGATGTCCTCTGCCTGGTAGGATCTAAGAATGTATGACAGGCAGTGATGTAGGACATGGGGGATGGCTTTCCCCAGCAGTGGCTTTTAAGTTGTGACCTACAGTATCAGCTGGAGGAGGATCAGCTTGGAAAGGAAACTAAACAGAGCGTCGGAGACTTCTGAGAACGCCGTCCTGCAGCTTCACATGCTGTCTACAGGTCACGGCAGTGGACACTGGAGCAATTCTACAGACCTGGTGCCCAGGGGAGGTCTGTGCTGACACCAGCAAGAGCCCTTCTAGGGAGCAGTGGAAATGGAAGTCAGATTAGGAAGAGAGAAGTTAACATAAGGGGAAGAATGGAAACTACCATTGTGGACAATTCTGTCCCGATGTTTGCCTGTGACCAAAGGATGGGGCTCTGTGGGCAAGGGAGGGCTGTTTTATTTCATTTTTTAAGTGAAAGACACAGCCTTAGATATGTCTTTCAGTTTAGATAGTTGAAAAATCATGGAAGGTTGAAGAGAATAATCCAGTTGAAAGGGGTTGACTTTATATGAGAGAAAAGAAACTTTGTAAAAAAGAAGTGTGAGCAGACAATTGGGGAAGGCCTCCTGGCAGCACAGGTGGCAGCTGGCCGTCCTGGGCTAGGGAGAGCACCCTGCAGGAGCCAGGGAAGAGGGCCTGGGAGGGAGGAGCCCACAGGGACTGTGTGGGCAGTGGCAGGAGGGTGGGGGTCCATGACTGTGAACTCAGAGTGAGGCAGGAGCCAGGAAGAGCACAGGTACTGAGAGTCCTTGAGAAAGTAGCAGGCTTCCCAGTAGCACCGGGCCCCGCTGAAGTGTGTGGTCATAGCGAGGCATGGGTTTCTTCTCCTACGTCATCTCCTACATCATCTTCCCAGCCTCTGCTGCCGGGAAGATGCAGTTCACCTCTGAGGCTGCCCCAAGACATACATAGGTCACACTCTAAATGGATAGCCTTTAGCAAGCTGTAAACAAGTCTTTAAAAAGGACACTAAGTGTTATAACACAAGAATAGTTTTACATAAATGGAAATACAGTTCCTTACATTTATATGATACCGGAAGCAAACCAAGTAATAAACTTCATAGAAAGTACAAGATGAAAAACTTCTCAAGTTTCTGTCAACTGTCTAGCAGGTCACACCACTCCCACACTTGTCTATGGCCAGTGTAACCCAGGACAGCAGCTTACCTCCCTGTGAGAGGGAGTGACACTATCCCCAAGGGTAATGTGAGGACTGATGACATCCTGGGGGAATGTCTGGCAGCCGTCAGTCTCCAGTGTCTTGATTCATCTTGCTCCTTCCAGCATGTAACGTTTTGGGGGTGCTTATTAGCTCTGCTCTCCTGGCTTTGCGGGGAGCTGCTGTCTTGAGGAGCAGGTGACTGCCCCAAAGGGGTAGTATTTAGCAGAGGCTGTGGTTCAAAGCAGAGCAGAGCAGGGCAGGTGACCCTTCGTGCACACAGGGATGGGAGTGATTGGAGGTTGCAGAAAACTCATCAGAGAATAAGCTCTCTGTGGCTTAAACGTCGAAACACAAATTTCTCCTTTTATAGGATAGACCTGTGTTCTCCATAAAGTGATTTCCAAACAAGGTGTTCCTATCCCTAACTCTATGTTGCCACAGCCTTAAGAAGTCCTGTGTCGGCTTGGCGCCATAGCACAGTGGTTATGGCACCAGCTACATACACCAAGGCTCACAGATTCAAACTCGGCCAGGGCTAGCTAAACACCAATGACAACTACTACAACAAGAACAACAACAGCAACAACAAAAAATAGCCAGGCATTGTGGCAGGCGCCTGTAGTCCAGCTACTTGGACAGCTGAAGCAAGAGAATCGCTTAAGCCCAAGAGTTTGAGGTTGCTGTGAGCTGTGATGGCACAGCACTCTACCAAAGGCAACATAGTGAGACTCTGTC